CGACGGCAATGGGTTTATCCAGCTTATATAGCCTTATCCATAAGCCTATTTTTTCCTACAAAAATCTATATTTATTCAAGTATGATGTCACTGTTCAGAAACCAGGGTATTAGTATTTTGTCACAATTGCATAAATATTTAGCAATTTCAATCTTGATTATATATGCTATCTTCATGCCAGCCACAGAAATTCTGACTTATATCTGGGTAAATGAAATCAATATCCAGTCGGTCAAGTTTTACTTTATTAGTCAAAATGGTGGAAATACAGTGCTTCCCTTTGGGAGTTCACAGTCTGTTGGAGGATATATGTCTCTTAGGATATAAGAAAGGACCAAAAGATACAAGTTATAAAGGGGCTTCACTGGCATTAATTTAAGCCTCAGAATAATTTTATGACATATTATCCTTATCCTCTAGATATGGAGACAAAAGCCTAGAAATGTGAAATGATTTGCTTATGGTTACACAGCTAGTAGTGGATGATTTGAGACTTAGACTTGGGTTTTCTGACTACAGACCCGACGCAACACTGCCTCAAATTACAAATTGCATTCCTCCTAACGAGTGTTGAATTACAAGGAACCAACAATAATACCCTTTTTCTTTGTTTCAAACTTTATTTTGAAACTTTCAAACATACATCTACCCTCTAGCTAGATTCAACAATTGTTAACATTTTGCCACATTAGCTCTCCCTGTCCTCACACACATACACATTTTTGTTGTTGTTGAGCCACATGAAAATACACTGTAGAGATCGTGACCCTTCAATCCTAAATACAGCAGCATGCATTTCCTAAGAATAAGGACATTCTTCTACATAACCAAACTGCCACTGTCATGTTAAGAAATTTAAAAATAACTCCATATGATCAAGTGGCTCTAGTATTAGATATTATATTCTATTTCATATTCCAACTTCTCCAATTGCACACCAAATATCTTCTACAGCTTTTTTTTTTTAATTGTACTTCAGGTGAAGGTTTACAGAACAAATAGTTTCTCATGAAACAGTAGTACACAT